ATCGAAAATAAATTTTTAATTTTGACGTAATGAATTTTTCGACATAAGTAATTGGCCAGAAAATGTTTTTATAGACAACACCAAAAGTTCATCAATACTAATTGGTCAGAAAAACCTCAATTGTTACGCCATAAATACTTCGTCGGTATTATTTGGTCAGAAAAAATTCTTTTTTTGACAACAGTAAAATTTTATCAATAATATTTGGTCAGGAAAACAACTTTTCTGATAATATAAAATTACGTCAATAATTTTGGTCAGTAAAACACATTTTCTGGTATCATAAAAGTTCGTCAATACTAATTGGTCAGGAAAAAATTCTTTTTTGACAACAGTACATTTTCGTCAATACTATTTGGTAAGGAAAACCACTTTGCTGATATCGTAAAACACTTTTTTGACGCAACAATAAGCCTTTCGTCAGTACTATTTGGTCAGGAAAATTTTCGTGAGCACAGTTTGGTCAGAAAAATAACATTTTTTACGCCATAAAATGTCGTCGGCAGTAAATGGTAAGCACAAATACATTTTGTACGCCATACACAAGAATTACATGTTTTGAATCAATATATAAAAAAACACATAGTAAGCACTGTTCTATGAAAAATATAATGTAAATTATATAATTTATATTTCGATCTACAAAGACCAAATTAGTCATACTTAATCTTCGAACCCGGCTCTAGTCCAGTTTAAGAGATCATCTCCCTCGGTTTTGAGTACCCTAGGATCATCAATTAAAATATAGTCTTCTTGATAGGCTTCGTCTAATGCTCCTTCTCCTTCTCCTTCCGCATTAGATGGCATCGCGAACAAATTTCTTGGTCGCATTTCAACCACAATTTCTCAATTTGGATCTCTTAAAGATTGCACATAATAAACTTGAATTGCTTGACTAGCCAGAACAAATGGCTCATCTGTTCTAAGCCTTCGCGTAGTGTTGATGGTAATAGTGCCATGTCCATCTTTCCTGTAACCAACGCCTTCGCGAGCAGTGTCATACCACTCACACTGAAATAATACAACACGAAGCCCTTCCGTATAAAGAAGCTCGATGATATCGGTGAGAACGCCATAGTAATGAATTCCACCATCGTTCTCCCCTCTCAGCATCACACCACTGTTTTGACTGCTTTTTGTTAACTCGCGAGAACGAGTGTGAAATCTGAATCCATTGGTACAATATCCTGAGTAGTGCGGGACTCGTTTGTCTGGCTCTCGAGCTTAGGATAACAAAGAAGGATTCAAACTTGACACTTTATCATTGTGCATTCGTGTAATCTACAAATAATTGCAAGGATAAACTTAAAATTAGCTTGCGATAATTTTAAATATGAAAATTCTTTATTATATATGACATGTATGTACCTCTAATAAGAACCACTTAGCAAATTCTTGCTTATGCACTGCTTCAACCATACGAACACCTCGATTTCTTAGTTGTTCCTTATGAGTTCTGTAATTAATATAATTAAAATAAATTATATTCTAGCATACAATAAATAAATAAGTATTGGTATATATGTATATGTACCTTATAAAATCTTGCACTTCATCACAGTTTTGTAGGACATAAGAAGCTGCCGCATTCCACAAATCAGTATTGAAGTCTCTCATGTCGTCCTTCACACCAATGACACGACCGACACCCGGAACAACTGATAGGTCATGAGATGGCTGCGACGACGATGAAGATTTATCTACATTTCTCTCTGGCCGATTAAATATAGTATCCATTCCGGTCAAATATTGCGAGCAAAATGTGACACATTCATCAACAATATAAGCTTCGGCGATTGATCCCTCTGGACGTGCCTTGTTATGAACGTAACCTTTTAACTTCTTCAAATACCTAAATTGTTTAAAAATTGTCAAATTAAGTACACAAAGTTTCCAAAATGTCAGTATATATAATAATTTTAGTGTAGTTATATATGTAGCATACCTTTCAATAGGATACATCCATCAATACTGAACTGGACCAGCAACTTTGGCCTCCCAAGGTAGATGGATGGGCAGGTGGATCATTATATCGAATAAGGAAGAAGGAAAAATACGTTCCAACTTACATAGGATTATGGCAATTTGAGACTCCAAGTAATTCAAATCTTCCACGTTTAGCTCCTTGGAACATATGTCCTTGAAAAATTTGCTAAGCTCAAACAGTGTGTGCGATATGAACTTCAGAAATAAGTCACGGGCGGCTAACGGTAATAACCTCTCCAAGAACACATGACAATCATGAGTTTTCATCCCATGTATCTTTCGATCATCAACATTGACACAACGTGCCAAACTTGCGGAGTAAGCATCTGGTACCTTAACTTTTGACACAAGGATTTCTTCTCTGCCGCCGTCAAGCTATATGCAGCTCTAGGTAACTCTGTTTTCCCATTCCTCTCAACAGGATGAAGATATTTCCTTATACCCATCTCCTCCAAATCACGATGTGCACTTAGACCATCCTTTGTTTTGCCCTCAATATTCATAATAGTACCAAGAATACTATCACATACATTTTTCTCTATATGCATGACATCCAAATTGTGTCGTACTAAGAGCGATGACCAATATGGCAATTCAAAGAAAATATACTTCTTTTTCCAGTTATGAGTTTTGCCAAACCCATTGATTTTTTTGCCTTTTCCCTTACTGCCGAAAGGTATAGTTTGTAAAGAGAGAAGTTGATTTTTTTACCTCTTCGGATGATAATCGCTCTAGTGCACGTCTTTTTCTACAGTGCCGTTAAACTCCTTCTTTTGCTTGCGCCATTTATGATCCAATGGCAAAAAACGGCGATGATCCATGTAACATTCCTTGCATCCTTTATTCAACCTCGAATGTGAGGTGTTCCCTACGCAGGAAGGGCATGCCAATTTGCTTTTTGTACTCCAACCAGAAAGGAGACCATATGCAGGAAAATCATTGATAGTCCACAACAATGCAGCTTTCATGTTGAAATTCACTTGTTTGAATGCATCATAAGTCATTATTCCCTCACTCCACTATGACTTCATATCATCAATGAGTGGTCGCAGGTAGACATCAATATTGTTTCCTAGACTTTTCGGACCAGGAATGAGTAATGTCAATAATAGATATGGACTCTTCATGCATAACCTCGTCGTAATAGATGTAGCTCAACTTCTTGTTTTTCCCTTCTTATAAAATTCCGACAGTCCACGCAAGGACACTGTATTTTGTTGTCTTCGTCTTGAATATTGGAGTATGCGAATGCGATAAAATTTTGAACGCCATTCGCATACTCCATAGTTGATCTATTACGAAGCTGCATCCATGATTTGTCAACACCTTCCATAACCTACAAAAAATGTACAATATATTTTTAATTACTGCAACTTACTCATTTTTTTGGGTGCACTCAACTCTAAAAATATCTATACTACATCAAATTTTGAAATTTAATTAGTACTCTCAATCTAATATGATGATATGACATAGAATCATAACAAATCAATCTATTACCCTAACCCCTTAACCTTTAATTTTGAATCCCAACTCAAAATCTCAAATTATAAACCTAAACCCTAACCCTAAATCCCTAAATCCTTCAAATTAAATTAAATTTTGAATGATTTTTTTTTTCAAATTCATGTGCTTGTTGTTCATAATATCATAAGCAATAATTGATATCGTTTTGATATGAATCGCATGCTCAGAATGACAATTATGAGGCGGGTGCACTGAGTGCACCCAAAAAAGTGGGTGCACCGAATAGGCCACCACATATATATGTATATGGTTCAGGCTAGCGTACGCCTGTACGTCCCATTGAGTTTTGCTATATAGATCATGAATTAATTGGAGTTTGGGGCATGATATTATACCCTAACCTCTAATGGGTGAATCTCAGTCCCTAATTTTGTAACCCAAACCATGAGGTTCGTTTAATTTTAATATATATATATATATATATTTATATATATGTATATATATATATTATTGCAATTCAATCATTGTATGAAATGTTTATTAACAACAAAATATAAATTAAAAAGGCTACATAATCATCTGCCCCTCTTCGCTTCAATAAAACATGAGATATTTTTATCTTTTAATGTCAGCTAATCAATTAACACTAAAATTTATTCTGAACAAATTAAAATGGACAACAAAAACACTCCATCTTCCCCTCTCACCTCCTCACATGCACTCTATTTACCCAAACCCTTAATCGATTTCATTTTTGCTCTCTTACCCAAAAGGTTGTGGCGACTTCAAGTCTGTCGATGATGGAAGATTGGGGGGCATGGAGGAGACGACGACGGTATTTCCAGTTGCTGCGGCGGTTGGTGAACTAGGGTGCGCGAAGGCGACGTCACGGCCGCCGTCGATTGCTCCGATCGGCCAACGGACTGAGCAGCGTTGACGAGGCGATGCAGCAGGAGCCCAATCCTCTGGTGGGTCTGGGTTTCACGACGGATTGCGCTTCGAGAGAGATGAATGAGGGCAGAGAAGTGATCTTTATTCGCCGGAATCCGGGTTCCTTCGCCTTTCTTAGTCGACAGAATATAGGTTTTTTTGCTTTTGTCTTTCGATTGGATGTGTACAAGCAAATCAATTTATATGCATAGATGTGGATTTGAATGCTACGGTTTGGTTTCCTCAATTGTAGGTGTAAATTGAACATGCATGCACCCAGAAAGCATCTTAGAACTCTCTGAGATTGGGACTGAATCGGAATTCTAGGTAATTAGTTTGTTCTTTGCACAATGGGGTATGTTCTGAGTTAGTTCAGTGGCTTTTACTTTGATTTGGTCAATGCATGTGGGTTGTTCATCCATGGTGCAATTCTTGTTCATCCATGGGGTATGTTTTTGGTTCATTTTCTTTGCAATTTGGTTCATTGTTCGCAGACTGTAATTAGTTCTGTTCAACCCCCCCCCTAATTTGTCAATTATTGTTCATTCATGTAAATAAACCTTAATTGAAATAAACGAATTAATGCGTTAAATGAGTACAACGACAGAGAGGGATCTATGGAACGAGATTTCCTCAGAAAAGGTAAAGAACCATAAACATGCTCTGCCTCTTCGTTAGCCTAAAAAAAAGGCGGGATTTTTTTCCTTGTTTCCCACCACAACACAACAACTACAGAAAACATGCTTCATTAATAATCCCTAGATAACATAAACACGCTTCAGTAGGCAGAGCCAAATAAAGGAACCCAAAAGCCTTTTCTTCGTCATCTACGATTTCCTCTTCTCTCCCATTACTCTCCTCCCTCTAACGAATTCTGCTTCTCACTAGATGGCAAAGCAAAAGAAACGCCTCCGTTCTCAAAGCCAGAGGGAAGAATCTGCACCTCGTTCAGTTGTGCAGAGCAACTCTCCCTCTCCGCCTCTTGTTTCAGAATCAGGAAGAAGGACAAGGGGACAGGAAAACCGATACGCCTGTTCCTATCACTGAAACTCCGAGGCGTTGATTCGACTGCTCCACATTCAGCTGCTTACCTGTCATTAGAGGGTGGAAGTTCGAATGGTTAGTTTCATTGTGTGGTTTTTTTTATTTATTTCGTATGGCTTACTTCTGTCTTTGCATTGTAGCTGACTATAAGTTCTGACCTTGTGATAGGGACGACCAAAAAAAGAAAAGGAAGAGGACCAGGAAAGGGTGTAAAGCCTGGACACAACCCGTCTCTGGAATTTCACGATAACAGGTCTGTAATAATGTTCCTTGGAATTTTTTGCACAACCTGTCCCTGGAATTTTTTGCACTCAGTGTCTCCCATCTTTCACAATTACCCGTCCCTGTACTCAGTTTACTTAGTTTGATACTTATAAATAAACTGTGCAGGATAATTACCACTCAAGCAGCCCGTGAAATTTCAGCTATCTTCAAAAGGAGCATCAATGGGCCTTGGATTACTTTCTTAGAGTATCATGCATAAGAACTCGAGACTGTGATAGCTCGTTTCAAGGACTCAGGATTCACTTACACTGGGTCAGAAGAGACTTTCAACGATATGGTCAGAGACCATGTGAAGAGAAACTTTCCCCAGTGGATGTATGGTCTCCGTGACCAGATTTTCAAGAAGTATAAGGATCTGAATCAGAGAATGAACCATCCCCTACCGCAAATTAGTCCATCAATTTGGAGGAAGATGGTTCAGAAATGGACTAACCCGAATTGGGTGGTAAGTTAAGTGGGTGTATGCTTTGGTGTTTGTCTTTCATCCTAATCTATTTTCAATGGTGAGCTGATTGTTTGTTGTTTCAAATTCAAGGAAATGAGTGATAAGAATAAAGGGAATCGGGAGAAGAGTGAGCTTGCAGCCACTGGCGGTTCAGCACCGTTGGCCAAGTACGACATGAAGAGGTAAGTTGCTGCACTATTGCTAATGTTTATGTTAGGCTGCAAGTTTACTCAGTTTACATGTGAATGCAATTTTTCTTTTTAATTGATTGGTAGATAAAAAAAAACTTGAAAAGAACCTGATCCGATCGAGATGTTTAGACGTTTCCATGTGAAGAAGGACAAGAACTGGGTTTCGTCAAAAGCAAGAACCCTGCATGTAAGTTCAATAATGTTTACAGAGTATTAGGTTGCTGTTTGTATTGTCTTTTTTATTGATATTGATGTTGTATACAGAGTATTAGGCTGCTGTTTAATTTGTACTCGTTTTTGTTGTTTTTTATATTGATGTTGCTGTTGTTTACTCTGTGATTAGGATGGAATGATACAAGCAGAGGCTGACAAGGTATCCCAAGGGGAAGAACCAAACAAATTTGCCATCTATCAAGAAGTGATCGGACCATAACGCCCAAAGCGTGTTCTAGGGATGGGCCATGGGGTGAGCTCGGTTGATGTCTTCGGTCCCACATCGAGTCAAGGTAGTCAGGATTGCAGCAAGTGTTGTCAGGAGGATCGAACCAAAGAAAGGGCAAAAATTGATGAGAAAATGAAGAAGTTGGAGGATGAGATTGTAGATGTGAGGAATGCAGTTCCTCACATTGTTGAATCTGTCTTGCAGAGACTTGGAATGCGGCTGCCCGAGTCATTTGATATGGTATTTATTTTGCTGCCATGTTTTATTTTTTACTCATTACATAATTTTCGAAGCTATGGCTAATTTATTTGTTATAGTCTATGTAGGATCTCAACAGTGAAGCAAATGGGGAACAAGGTCGAGTTGGGGAAACTCAGGGTAACGATGTGGCCGACGACGAGTCCGACGACGAGTCTGATGAGGAGACTGCCGAGGAGACTGCTACTGATGCATGAATTTCTTTTTAATGCTATCGTAGGATTCTAAGTATCGCTTGACTTTGGGATATTTTTTGTCATTTTTGGAGGATATTTTGTCTTTTGAAGTTTGGATGTTTGGTCGTAGCTGATGGCTACTTGTTAGACAGTTTGAAAGTTAATTTTGGAAAATGCATAACTTTGTTTGGATGATTTGTTTGTGTTGTCATCACTAGAAGTATAATGGCATCACAAATGAAATTTGATCAAGCAATTAGCAACAAATGCCGCCGTCGTTAATAGATGTAATTGCACAATTGATAATAATTAAGCGTCATTAGTAAATATAGTTTCTCCGACGATGTGTTGGAAAAGATAATTTTTTTGTGATAATTAGCTGTCCTTAGTAAATATATTTTTTCCAATGACACGTTGGAAAAGATTTTTTTCGACGATAAACATATGTCCTCAGTAATAAAAATATAACCAACGACACGTGGGAAAAGATTTTTTTAATGATGAATAGGTGTCATCATAAATAAAAATTTATCCAACGACATGTTGGAAAAGATTTTATTTACGATGAATAGTTGTCCTCGGAAATAATAATTCTTCCGACGACACGTCAGAAAAAACATAGTTTTAACGACAATTTGTCGGCATCAGTAAAATTTATATTTTTGACTAAACGTCGGTAATAATATATTAGTGACGCATACACATCATCAGAAATGTATGTACACCGTATAAAAAAAACGTTCGGCCTCAATTTCTGGTCACAAATAGTTATTTTCGATGAATTATGGACGTTAGTATAATTAGTATTTATGACGTCTCGTCCGAAAAATGGTTTACCCACAAACATAATGCGTCAAAAATAAATTAAGCTGTCGTAAAAAAAAAAATTCGTTAAATTCATCCGTCATGAGTGATTTCTTTTGTGACGTCATTTATTTTATTACTAAAGTATTCATGTCGTCAATAATATTGTAAATTTGACGACTTGTCAATAATATTATTATTAGCGACGAGACAATTTCTGACGACGTTTGACGACGAAATGTCATCGTAAAAGATATTTTCTGACGAAATTTTATCAATTATGACGAAAATCGTGTCGTCGGTAATGACTGCCATTTTTGGAGTGTGCGACGGTGCAGTTTGTGATTTGATTTTGCCGTCTGGAGCTACTCTCTCCTCCTGATGTTTATACTCCATCTTCTTTCCATAGTCGCAGTAACCGCTTCGCTCCTTCTTTGTCTCCCACGTTCTTCATTCCTCTCAACCGTGCGATAACTTCTACTTTGTTGCGTAACTCCCACGAGTGTGAAACAGCTTGGTCACGTATAGGAGCTTGGCCAAAACGACATTGAGCCAAAATCCAAAATTCTCCACCACGGTTCGATCCTCTGAACAACCTTGTCCACAGAATAAGCAACGACATCGAGTCCGCGGCTTCGCCAAACACAAGCCATTGTGGAACTCTCGCCACCGCAATGTTGTTTTAAACTAAACAACGTTGCATCCCATCCTCACGGTGTCGTTGGATCTTTGTGATGCCGCCGATCACATTAGGTGTGTCTCACAACGTTGTTCTACACAAAACAACATCGTTTTCTACTACCACGACATCGTTGCAATTTCTCGCGACATTGTTTTCACTAAACACTGTCGTTTCTTGCTTTTAATCTCGCTACACTTTCAATGGCTTTTGTTGGCTTTTACTTTATCCTACCGCAGCTTTGTGATCCCAACCACGGTGTCGCAAAGAAAAGAAAAACAACACCGTTACACCGGTTTGTAGCTCGGCCTTGGCCCAAAATGGCGACGTTTCAAGTTTGCCAGCTTTTAAAGCAAACCAGCTGCGAAAAGGTTGTGAAACACGTTTCCTTATATTAAACCAATTAGGCAAAGTATGATTACGTACTTACGCGCTAGGTATGGCCGTTCAATTCCCAGATCCATGCGGCACAACATTGTTCCACCCTCTTTCTCGACTCTCCTTGTAGCTCCGCAACACTGTTTGCGCCAAATCGGTCGCGTTAACCTTTTTTATATTAAAACTAAATCTCGACCTTTTTTATAATTATTATTAAATAATTTTTGGCCATAAAGATTTGTTCCTAGCTCCCAAGGTTGTGCGGCCAACACATACACCATTGTTTTCCTGAAAACATTAGTGTTTTGTTTTTTCCATTTATTAATTAAAACCAACTGGTTTGGTCTTTTATTTTATTTTTTTCTCCCACTGCAGCCTTGTGATCCCAACGACATCGTTGCAAAGGAAAACAACAATGTGCACCGTAGTTCTGCTTTCCCCAAAAACTTCCGTGTTGCAACAATCATCACAATTCACAGGGCTGTTTTCTTTACCCGCAACATTGTTTGGCCGAACTCCTTTCCTTTTCCAACAAGAAAAAGAAGCAATCCTCCTCTCACTTCACATGGACACTCGGCCAACCATTTAGATAGATTCCACACCTGCATCTCACATCCAAATCAACTAGCACGCTCACCATCGCACAACGACCTAGCATGGCTCCCCAAGGACGCCTCGCGCCTCAAGCCATGACCGCTATTTCTCGTCAATTCTCTTTCTCATCACCGTTGCAATACCAACAACGTTGATACATGCGCCTAGATACATATTAAACAACTTGGCGTAGAAACAAAATGAAACCCACATACATGTTCTCCTTCACAACATATATATATATATATCCTGAATAATATTAAAGATATAAGGGTATCACTGTTGCACTAGAGCTTTTCTAACGTGAATGACTGTCATTATATTTGGTGACCAGCAAGAACTTCATCAACACGTGGCTGTTGCTGTGGAGAGCGGAGGGATTCACTGTTAACACGTATCCCCATCCTCTCTGCCGATTTCCATTCAAGTTAATCGACGCGCTGCATATATGGTCGTTGCTTTCGATCTTTCTCCGATCTTCTTCTTAAATCAAAACCCTAACCTTACAGATGATTTGTACGTCTTTACCCGTCGGAGTAGTAGAAAGAGGAACGCAGATCCAGTCTCTGTTCCTGTACCCTCAATCTCGCCGCTTTCTAATGAAGACGTTGCAGCAGCGGCGAGGGACAAAGGAGTGGCCAATCAAGATGGGAGCCCGATGTGTATTGATAGAGAGGGGGCGTGAGGGGTAGGAAAGACGCCGCTAGATGGAAAACTGAAAGATGAAGGTTGCTCGGTTGGCTGACAGGCCGATACGGCGGGCCAGAATCACAACTGAAAGAACAAATCGAGATTGGGTCTTTTTCAATCCCGAATAGGAAAGCGGAGAAGTCCGATGGCACTATGGTAGTAGGAAAATTCAACCAGTGGCGAAGAAGGGGCATTCTGGAGTGGAGATAATATTGTTAAAATTTCAGAGGAGGTACCGTTCATCTTGCTTTTGATGTTTCACCAAATTGCATGTTTGATGTTTCATGGGGGATGAGAAAATTCTACTAATAATCCAGTTTGCAAAAGTTAATAGAATTGGTGTCTGGGTTTTGGTATCATAGTGGTTAGTGAAATGGGAGAAATATGGGTGTGCATTCACAAAGATCTTTGTTTGTACGAGAAGTCTGTTTCTTCCTTTTGATATTTTAATTATAATTTCTGTTTGGTTGATATAGAGTAAGGATTGAAGCCCGAAGATTGACTTGACGTTTCAGGATCGCAAGCGTAGGTCTATGAATCAGAGTTGTTGTTTTGTTGATGTAGAGTAAAATGATCGAACCCCTAATTTTATTTGCCCGGAATCTTGGCGCAGTCTGCTAACTATAATGGGTCTGTAATTCCCGATTTTGTGTCTTATTGAAAGGAAAGTACATGGGCAGTCAGATTGTGGAAGATTCAAGTAGGAAATATGAATTGATGCACACTGTTGGGAGTGTAGTGTATGATGAGTTCTCGACTCAGCTCTTCACTCTTTGTTCTGTTTATTTAAGTGTTCTGCATTCCTGCTTTGTGTAGCTCTATTGGATTCATGGATAGAAGATGTACAAGCACTACAAAAAATTAGCCCCATGCCAAGGGTTCTGTAACAAGGGTTCAGTAAACCCCCGCTATCTTTTTTTTTAACTCGCCGTTACAAAGGTTTGTTGCAAAGGTTCAAGAACCCCTGATGTATTGATAATTTTTTATGTGAAAACCCTCTCCTTTTTCGATCTTCTTCTACTTTCCAATTCCCATAGCTTCTCCTTCCCGGTCCGATTTCCAGGCGCCGTATCATCACTGACATCTATCAGGGAAGAACCACAGTTCTTCGCGGGATTCAGCTCCAACTCAAAAGGAAGAGTCGACCGTTGCCAACGACACCGTTTCCACAAGTAAAAGCAGAAGCTGGAGTGATGTCGTTTCTGGCAAACTTCCAATCAGTCCTTAATGTTTGTAATTTGGTTTCTTTCCGTTTTGGTTCTGTACTTGCTTAAAGCACAAGTATTGTCTTCTTCCCCAATCTGTCTGTACAAGCAAACTATCCAGCTATATAAGCTGTGAATCAATGAAACAAACCAAGCTCTTTTCCTCTCCAACCCTAAAAGGTTGATATGGTATCAGAGCCTCAACCCTAGCCGCCACCATCCACAGCTATGGCTGCCGCAACACAATCTGCAGCAACCACAGAACCCACCCCTTCCAACACCACAAATGTCGATCCAATGTCCGACCCCTTCTATCTCCATGGTTCTGAGCAACCTGGTCTCCAGCTTGTAGCAGAGAAGCTAACCCCCATCAACTACAACGATTGGAGCAAAGCCTTTCACAATGCCCTGGGTGCAAAGAACAAACTGGGGTTTGTGGATGGTTCCATACCAGATCCAGGCCAAGGACATGCCACAGCTTGGGCATGGACCAGAAACAACATCATGGTCCTCTCCTGGATTCAGCAAGCTGTGGATCCTGGCATTCGAAAAACCATCATGTCCTGCAAAACAACCATGGAAGCTTGGAGGAGCCTGCGTGACAGGTATGGCCAAGGTGACATGGTCAGAATTGCTGAGATCATTGAATCCATCTGCAACCTAAAACAAGGTAATCTGTCTGTCACTGAGTACTATGGAAACCTCATAGCTCTAAGAGATGAACTCGACAACTATCAACCAATAGAACCTTGTGCCTGTACTACCACCAGCCACAACACTTGTAGAGCTATGCAACTGGTCCTTGGGTACAGGGATACCAACTATGTCATACAATTCCTACGAGGGCTAAATGACAACTTCACAAGTGTTAGGTCACAGGTTCTGTTTGGTGACACACTACCGTCATCCATGTCACTTCCCTCATATGGCTCCTCTTTCTGCTCGATTTTGGAAATCAAATCCATGTTCCTATGCGGCTGAGAGAATAGCTGGTGCGTCTAAGTTCAATCACGGAATTCCATTACGAGGAGATGGAGAAAGAGAGCTTCCATCAACATCAATTCATCACCATTACCATCATCGCTCAAGGAGAATCGGTGGGTGATTCTCCGATTCTAGAAGGTTATCTCTCGCTCTCTCTGTCCTTCTCGCGTCCGAGCATGAACTCTCTCTCTCATTCTATGACTATAACCAGTATAAGATAAAAAAATTACAATGTTACGTTTTTCAAGAAAAAAGCAAAGAAATTAGAACGGAACTCAACTTGGAAATTGGAATGGAGTAAAATGAGAAGAAAGCAACTCTGTACCCCTACTTCGTACTGCTTTCCTCAATTGGAAACCTTAATAACGAAAAATAAGGAAATATTTTTTTCTTTCATTTTGTGCGTTTGTTGTACTTTTTTCCTTTTTCTTTTTATTTGTGTATATTATACTCTTAGCTTGTTTTGTTTAGATGGTTTGGTTTGGTTTCAGACACTCATAACCAGTCAAACCAAATTAATCAGTTAAGTAATTAGTCATATATCTAATAAATATTATATACACATACTTAATATTGTATAACCACTCAAGAGTTAAACGTTCATCCCTTTTAGACTCATAAAATATAAAGCTCAATATTACTCCTATAGTATATATTTGTATATATAAAGTGTAGACCACAACATATGGACGCGTCCTACGTAAGCTTACCTATATCCAAATAAGAGTCTTACCTTCTACGGAAGAAGCTTTTGTAAGAGTCTTTGATTCCTCATTAGCAACCTACATAAGATATCATTAGTAAGTTCCATATAGTTAAATCAAATTCAGGGATAAAACCAAGTATATTATTATACCAATGAATTAAAAATGGAAAGCCAAATCACTAGCAACCTACATAAGATCCGAAGTCAGCAAGCTCTGAAATCACTAGGTATTATGCCCCTTTACCTCCCTGAAAGAGTTTTCATCAAAGAAGATGAATAATAAGTCTTCCCAAAAGTAAAAGCATAAGCATGATCATGATCATTACAGATAAACGGCAGAAGCAAAAGCGAAAGGAAACCTCATGGATTACCCACCCAAACTATTTCAATAAACATTCATCATCAGTAAACTGTTTACAGGAAAATCCATGCCAGGCTGTTATACCCTTGCAGCTATCAGAGAATTTGCAGGTCAGAGTCATATGCTTAGTTTCATTAAGGCTTGATGTGAATAAAACATAGTGTTTCTGTTAGGGGTTTTGTGCTCTTAATGGCACTTATCTTAATGGTCGAGGGCTAAATCTCATGAGTCTACTATGTTTTCATTTTGCTAGTGATCTTCTATAGATGGCTAGGTCCCAGTTTATGCTTAAATTACATGTGGTGTTATTCTTAAACCTTGAATCAAATGTTTTAAAACCACCATATAAAATCAAATGTTTTAAAACCACCATATAAAAGCTCAGAACATATTTGCACTTCTTTGAAGCATGGTCCATGAAACCGTACCGGAGACCGTACCGGAAAAGCCAGCGGTAGGGTATTTTATGGCAAAACCGTGGTTTAACCCTAGTTCAACCGTTAATACCGCCTATCGGTTTAGCCTCTGATACTGGTATTTTGTGGTTGAACCGCCGGTACGGTATGGTTTCATGGACCATGCTTTGAAGTCATTTGATTAAGGTCTGCAGGTCATACTTATCAAGTTTACAGTTAAGGTTGTTTTGCTTGAGCTTGCCTTGTCAATGGCAGCATGAGGGGAACATACCAATGAACAACAACAAAAGAACTTATGGGGAGATCTAAGCAACAAAACAACTCACCTGTTTTCTGTTTCCATTTTCTCTTGCGGGGAAGCAATCTTAGGAAAAAGAAGGCTACTGACTTTCAGAAAAACCATGGCGGCGTGTGCTAGCGACGGTTGGCGGTTTGGGTACTGTCCTGTTTCAGACCCATTGAGGTGTCACTTCTTAGCTCCGTGAATTGTTCTTCCTGCCTTCGTCTTCTTCTCCTTCTTTCCTCGGTAAATCCCCTCCCCTGTCTCTCTGCAATGCTTTTTTTCTACTCTGTTTTTTCAACCCACATATCTCTGTCTATGATCACGGAACTGGGTGCCGACGGTCTCTACTGCCAAATCTTGTTTGTCAAATTTGTTTACACTTTGGTTAATGGCTTCAGGTTCTGTTTCTACTATGTTAGTTGCTTTGCCTGCAATTCAAAAAGGAATCCCTAAATCCCTCCTTGCTGCCTGCAGTTCCACCAAAATCCCTCTCTGATGCCCTCTGCCTCTTACACTTTTCAAGCTTATATTCGTTGATTTCAGACCATTATTGTATTTGATTATTTTCATTGACATGCATATGTAGTGGCTTTGAGCATGGAACTGGTGACACAGCTGTAGAGTTTGTGCCAAGAAGTAGCAGCGCATCAGTGTCAGTGACTGCAGTATCTTCATCGACTGTTTGTTTCTCATCTTCAGATCCTGTACTAGTGCCATCTAATGATTCAAGGCCTGCTGGTACAGTGGGTACAATAAAACGTGAAGTAGGGAGCCATCGAACTCTTTCTGCTACAAATGTTGCTCCTAACTCTCAGAAATCAGGTGAGAATCCTGAACCAGATTCAACTTTTAATTAGTGATGTAATAAGCTTTACTATGACTTCTAAGCCTTCTGCAGAATGATTCTGCAGTTCCAGTAAAGATTTTGAACAAACCGCAAAGTGGGTGGAACTAGATATTTAACTTTGTCATTCCCCTTCTGTTTTTGCCCTTTTAATTTAGGTTCTTTTGTTCCAATTTCACAGCTAGTACGGGCAATTGTGTTATTTGCTGAAGAAGTTTTCTTATTGAAATCACACTGTTTTCTAATTCATTGTTAGTGTATTTGCTTTGACCTTATATCATATATTTGCTTTGACCTTATATTATCTCTTTAAAAGAACAAGTTACAAGTTTACTGTTTGGTAGAGTCACATCCCGCCACTGTTACTTTTTGCTTTTTACTTGTTCTCATCATTTCTCAATTGGCTTTTCTACGTTTTGGAGTTGGGTAAAGTCACTTCCATTGGTGCACTCTTCAAGATCTTTGGCATGCTTGAGTCACTTCCCTCTGACAACCAAGACTTTTCTTCCCCTACTCTTTCTTTGTTGCTTTACTATCCCACATTTCCTTATCCTTCCCCTCTCTCTCGCATACCCTTTCCCAAGCACCCACACATCAATCAATCTTCATCCCTCCCTCTCTCTCAATGGGAGCAGAATAGTGCTACCACACACAAAAAAACCAGAAAAGTGAAAGAAGAACAGCAAGATAGGAAGAAGAAAACCAGGAGGGGAAAGGGAGGAATGAAAACCCCGCCCACCTGTGCTCTCCTTGGCTCCCTTGCTCTCCCCATCCACATGCGCTCTCCTTGATCCAGCTCCGCCGTTGTCCCTGTCTCTCTCTGTGATTGCAAATCTCCGAAATCGGCGATGCAGCGCCAATCCGCCAAGCTTGCCAAGGAAGGAGGGTTGTTCGACGGCTGGTGGTCTAGATCGTGAGTTTTCTTTGCTCTCAGTTTTTCGACGGCGATCTCATTTCTCTCCATCTGCTTTCTCTCTCCGTTAATTTTTCTGAGTTTCTTTGTTCTCTTCCTTGGGTAGAATTTCCTTCCTCTGTTTTTCCTACTCGAACCATTAAGAGAAGGGAAGTTGTGGACGACCCCGGTGCGATGGGAAGGTCGGTCATGGATGTCGGTGATGATCCCAGTTATGAGTGAGCTGCTTTCCGTTTTGAATATTTTATTTCTGGGGATTTTTTTTTGTTTGCCTTGAATTCTGGTTACTTATCTTTTACTTCTTGGTTTTGCTATCACGAAAACGTACGTTGATTCGTCCGCTGACGTCGGCTGTTGTCACAATAGAGGAACTTGCCCGGCCGCAGATGAACAGTTATCAACGTCGACAAAGGTCAGTTTTTTTATGTATGTATTTCCTTTTCCGGTTTTGGTGTGTTTGGAATTTTTATTCTGAGTTCTGCTAATCTGACCAGACCTTTTCTTTTTGGGTTTTCGGGTGAGGGCAATAGGAAGGATAATGTAAGAGTTGTTGTCGGTGTAGATTTCCGAAGCCTGCAAAGTAGCAACGAGGGCTGGCCGTTGCTCTCTAGGTAAGCTTCTTCTGTTTGGGTTAAGCTTCTTCTGTTTGGGTTTTGAATTTGTTTTGATTCTGGATGGCGCCTTTCTTTGGAGTGGTTCTGATATGTTTACTTTTGATTCCAGCCAAGGGAAGAGGGAGAAGGAGTCTCGGCCCTTGGACAGCAGCAGTGTAGCTTGCTTGCCCAGGTAGAAAATGCGTCTACTGTCTAGGTAACTTTTAATTTTTCCAGTGTATTTGGTGATTCGTTTTTTCCTTGGATGGATTCTGTATGTTTGGTAGAGATTATGCTGTACACGACCAACATGGCAGTGGGGTGGGGATAAAGGGAAGGTTAGAAAAACATGAGGATTGAGGATTAGAGTTCAATATTAATGAAAGAAGCAATTTTAGAGAAACGAGGGGCTTGAATCATGGGAAATCTTCCGACCCATCTGGTGGAGAGTTTATTTTGGATTCGATGGATGGTTTTGTTTGATTGAAGTCGTTCATGCTACTCTTTTTCCTTTTATTTGTGTTTATTGCAATATTAGTTTGAACTAATATTTTTACTGACCATTTGGTTTGTATCACTGTATGCACTCATATTAGAGGATCGATGGAAAACCTTTTGTTGCTGGGAAGACTAAGATGCAAGTGGCGATTCAGTGAAGGAAGTCAGAAACCCACAAAAGGTTATCTTAGTCCTCTGAACTTCATGTTCCCAATGGTTGTTATGCTAAAATTGTACTTGCTAGCAGAAGAGAAAATTGTAAATTACCTTCCTCGATTTGGTTTGGTTCGTTTCTATTCTTTCCAAGAAGTTACTCAGTTAGGAGAACAAAATGCAGGAACAAGGCTCGATTTTAATTGCCCGCTTGGAGAGTAGGGAAGACATGTTCATTGCATGCAAATGATGATTTCCAAGAAACTTGCAGCAAACAACTTGGAATTGGCATGGGTTATTGGGTTTCAATCTACTTGAAATTGCTTTATTGAACCTCTAGATCAGTGTTTCCAATCTATGGCCATATTTTGAGTTCATAGTTTAATTGATTCTTCAGTTTTTGAATTTTGTTTTCAACCGTTGCTTGGTGCTGCTTTCGGGTTTCAGATTGTGGCACCAAAAATTGTATACTGCCATTTTCAATTTGCGTTTCAATCTTCCAGTTTTTCATGTTATCTTTTAATCAAACACAGACTAATTGGTGTTTTGAGGTTGGTACTTTCATGGGTTAGGATCCTTTTGGAAGTTCAAATTCTTCATTAATGCCATGAAACTCTCTAGCATACCCATTCCTTGATTTGACCTCATTTTAGTTGATTTCGAGTTGGTTGCTAGGCTTTGTGAATTTTAGGAACATCAGATGCCTGGATGTGAGTTGTTGGATCCACGGTATCGGGGAGTTTGTTGATTTCTATACGAAAAGGGTGGACATCCTTCCGTTCGAGGTAATTACTGGTTTGTTCAATATCAAAAGTCACTTGCCTCTTTGTCTGGTTTTTATTGACACTTGCTTCACTAAACTACAAGTAACCAACTCATTCAGTTTTTATATGCTCTCACTTAAGAATATGTTGTTGGGAGTAATGCTGCTATAATGTGGTGTCGTTGTTGAGCTTCTTTTGATTCTGGGGATGAGTAAATACCGTGACTGGTTCTCATAAGTTGTAGGGATGCGAGGAACTGGCTGGTGCTGAAATCGTTTCTGTTGACGAATTCTTAATTGTCTGTATATTGAGTTCAATTACAGCTTGCGGTTTGGCTGTCTCAGGTTGTTTAGGAAAGCTTGGCCTCGATTAATAACTAAGTTTGCAGAGGTTTGTAAGGATACCATGTTGCTGGTTCTTATAAAATTATATTATGCCTTTGTTTTTTTGGCATGGGAATGGCGCAAAGGGAGGTTGTCAGGGAAACAACGGAGGGTCATTTCTGGCCAGGGTAACGGTGGAGGTAAGACATGTGAATAGAAGAGGGAAGGAAAGGTACACGGGATTACAAGCAAATCCACGTCTTAACACGAAAACCACTTGTTTCGAGTGATGGGATCTACAATTCGCTTAAGGCTGGAATAAAAAGGTAGGTGATGACCTTCATTTTCTGTTTTCAATTTCTGCTCACTTGCACATGAGAGTTTGTTTAATCCTTCCCGTTAGAAATACAGCCTGTGCGGTATTTTCCTGTATACTCAGTTCGATTACAGTTGGTGGTCTAGCCATCTTTGGTTGTTTAGCTAGCATTGCCCTCGATTGACAACAGTTTGTAGATATATTAAAGGATACCATGTAGTTGGTACTTATAGGGTTATCTCAAGTGACCACGAAGACCACTGGAGTGGTTCTTACTACTGGTTTTCAGCTAGCAGGTTAGTTTCGGTATATATGTTCTTAAACAGAGTATCTTTTAAAATGGATAGAAACAATAGAAGCTATCTCAAAAGTGTAATCTGGTTTGAAAATGTCCTCTGCAAATATGATGCTTTTTAATTTTCATAATTATTTTAGGTCAACCAGATTTTGAAACTATTGATAAGTTCTCTTTATTTGCAGACTGTTACTTTCTTTAAATCGCATATTTTTTCTTTCAATTGATTGTATGATTTGATCTTTTTTTTTTTTTGCTCATGGCAGGTCCCTCCCAGAAACATGATCCGAAGGTAATGGGCATAGGTAGATGAGAAATAGACTCAGAGATGGCAGTATCATCGAGTGTAGACCAAAACGATAGGTAAATTGTTTTTCAACTGTGTTGGCCTGAAGATCCCCTCTATAATAGAATTTGTTTTTTACCTCAGGTGCAATATTGAGGTTCAGTCATTCTGTAACTTCTACTTTTGTTCTTTCTACACTTTTTTGTTTCCTAATGTGGTCTCGGTTCTTTGTTTTACCTTTTTGGCGGTGTTTTGTAGTACCAATAGGGAATGAGTTGCAGATGCAGTTGAGAGGACGAGAGCTAAATATTGTTGTCTAAGATGAGGAGGAGAAGGTAATGTTAAAGCTTCCTATAACGGAATTCCATTTAGTCCATGTTTCCATCTCCTTCCTGATCATTTCCCTCCTTTTTTTGCATTCCTTCCATAAACCTAGAGATACAAAATATTGTCATTGCTCATGTCAGTATGTTTGGATCTCAAGTGTCATCCCCATTAGATCACCAACTAGACGAGCTTATGAAGAGAGGTTTATCAGTTAGTTCCCGATATTACTTTCAATTATCGTTCCTAAAATTGAGATATGTTTCGCTCAATGTACTTTTTCCAAACTTAAGATAATGGTTTATCACAATGTCCAGTGACTCCCATAATGTGTTCAGTATGCTCTGTGAATTATTCATTGTGCTCATAGCTTCTCATTCTTACTCTACTTTCTTTGTGCAGTGGCTTCTCTATTGTTGAATCATGCTGCTTCATGGTTAGTTTTCTTCTCATGGAAATTAGCTTTCGTAGTCCTTGATTGCTTGCTTATGCTTTAATTTGTACGCTTTGTTATCATTTATCTAACAACCTCCCATTGCCTATGCAGTAAGGACAAGACCGCTGCATCTTCTCTTGCTTCATCATGTTAAACCAGTCCGGTCTCGAACTTTTGTTCCTATGAAACCAGTTTTAAGACGTCTTATGTGTTATGTTCCAGGAAGTCCTTGCTCAATTTGCCTTCCCAACTTCCTTTCCTTGATGCCTTTCTCATCTGAATCCTTATATTAGTAAAATAGATAGAATTGTTGCACCACTGCTGTCATGGATTTGCTAACTTGAACAATTTTATCTTTTTTTACTTTCTTTATTTTATAAATTGACCAGTTCATAACTTTCTCTACTGTCATCTCATGTAGACTTTGTGGTTACCATATTCTTATCATAATGGAATATGTTTATTTTTCTCATGATGTGAAATTATTTTAATGATCAAGCAACCATATGAAGACAAAAAAAACCCCTACTATATCTGCTAGATAATGAGTTAAAGTTTGATCAATGTTAAGTGGCTGATTGCCTGCTATCAAATCCTAAAAAACTGTGGAGTTGGTAGATGATTCATATTTTCGATTGTGTTCAATTTATTTTTTCATGCACCTTATAGATTTATAGAGGTGGTATGACAATGCTATGTTTTTAAAATGACTTAATCTCCTTTCCTTTACCTATGGACTCTGCTGGTCTGTCGTTTCAGAATTTCAGTTAGGTAGGTGATTCTTCCTTATTCACCGATCTCACTCCCCTTTCGCAGCCTGCTCCATGGGACTTGCAAAGCTCCTTTACATGCTATATTGTTGACCTTCAATGATTTCAACAATCATCCCAACAGTTGAGTCCCGCCGTGCAGCGCGGGTTTTCCGTTCTAGTCATATATCATAAGACATGTCCTAATTCTACTGTTCATTAGTGTCCCATCCAATGGGTGGCACTACCGTAATTAGTCACTGCCGTTAGTTCCATCATTGCTGTATTTAATTCTTTAATTTAGTCACTAGCATTAATTCCATCATTGCTGTGCTTAATTCTTTAATATATTTGATAGAGGCTAGAGAAAAGAAGCCAGCCTAGAAATTCTATCTATTATTGTGAATAAAGGCTACAGAAAAGAAGCGTTAGGCTAGAAAAGCTAATTCTATCTAGAGTTCTTGGCGAGAAAGACTGTTTGCTTTCTATTCCCAATCCAATGCTCGCCCAAACGATCTCGGTTCCTTTTCCTCTGCTCTGCGGCGATCATTGCTCGTGTCTGTCTCTCTCTTCGTCTACTTTTTGGCCGCCGCTACTTTGGGGTTTCCTCGAGGTCCAGCCGAGGTCGGCCTGTCTTTTCATTGCGATGGGTTGGCCACCGGCTGAAGTCCAGCTGCTTTTGCTCTCTTCCTTCCTTTATCTTCTGCTTTCTCGGTTTTCCCCTGAATCCCCTTATCTGCTTCTTTCTCTTTCTCCGCCCTCTTCGGTTCTCCTCTGATTTCCGCCATGGTTACTCATAAGCTTCTGTTGGATGTTGGTGCAACTGACGGCCTGCACACGTTGCTCAAAATACGCCTGGTGCACGTCTGGGGTCCTATGGACTACAGGATCCTTCTCTAATCTTTAACTACTGCACGTTTTGGAATGATGAAGAGCTGTGCTTTTATTTCTCTTGCTGGTTAGCCCTTTCATTCTTCAGATCCAGCTTAAGTAGTCATTCATAAGCACTTCAACACTATATTCCTTTCAAGTTACCATTAATATAGCCTTTCTGGGATGCGAGTTTTCTATATAGGCCACCATTTGTTTGATGTACCAACTTATTTGTGTTTCTTGGTTTGTTTCACTGTGTACTTACACGGTTCAGTTCAGTTATTTGCAAGGTTTTTTATTGTGTTAGTTGGGAGTCATATAAATAGAGAGTTCTTGAGATAATAGTTCATTTTCCATAGTGCTTTGGAAGTTTCAGGTTGCAAGATACATTTTTTGTTTTCTTAAAGTCATTCAGAACTGGGATTGGTATGTTTAACTAATCAACTCAACACATAAAAAAGTTAAAATAGTGAATTATTCTTAATAGAAGGTTCACTATGGAGGGCTAACAATCTATTCTTCATTTGGATGGCTGAACCTATTACAGTCGAATTCAAGTTGATTAAACTTTCTCCTGATGTACCCGGCTACGATTCATGTTTTCTTTTTGGCTGGAATAATTGCTTCCTTTTGTCAATTCTATGTCCTGTCCTACATGGATGCTTCCATCGTTGAACTTCTGCTACGTGTGACCTTTAGTAACCTTTTTTATTGATTTTTCAGGTCGGTAAAAGGAGAAAGGTTCACACTGCCTATTGCATCTAAGCGTTAGAGCTTCAACTGATTTCCCTTCAATGTTCTGTGAGTCTTTCTCAGTGCATAACCCCTACTTCCTATTTGTATATGGTTATGTACTGTTGTGTGATATGTTAGTTGATTGTGTTCCTGGTCTCTTGAATCACATTATATATCAAGTGAATGGACATGATCTGTCAATTTCTTCAAATATGTGTGCATAGCCGGTCAGTTCAGGAACTAAAAATCTAAGAGTATTGTGCCTTTCGAATATAACTCTGTTTTCTGCAATTAGACGTGCTTTGCTGATGCATTTATTTTGAGCTTTGATTTTATTTTTGTAAGGGTGATATCATTTATAAGAAGGGGACTTTTTTATTTTGAGCTTCAGTCTTCAAATTTCAGTTGGTTATTGTTAAAATTATTTTGTACACTGACACTGCATCATGTTCTGTTTTATACCTTCACTCTTAATCATTCTAGATTTATTGATTACAATTGCCAGATGACTCTTTAACTGCTCTCCTTATCAAAGCACCTTCTTCTGTATTTTACATCACAGGTTACCATTTCTATTATACTCAGAGATTGGGGGTACAGTGAGCACTGGAGTCCACTCTTACAACCCTTCATGGTTCCCAGCTTAATTTTCACTCTGCTGCTTCTTCATTATCAAACTACAATTGAGCTGGAAAACTGTTTCCAGCTGGAGTTTGGTTCATGCTCCCTGGAACTTCAAGGCTATGTCTGCTGGTATTTAGGCTGCGAGGAGTTTTGCAGTAGGGAAGTTACAGGTTTGCAAGAAGCTTTATTTTCATGATAGGATCTCCATTATGGAAGTGCACTTTTTGAGGTTATTGGTGCCATATTTTCACCATCCGCTATTTTTCCCAACGGACAACATTGTGTTATTTTGAAATGTATTGTCGCTTAATAACCATGTTCTTGCAAAAGCTTTCTCATTTTCATGTGCCTTCTGCATGCATGCTCTGTCATCACTGCTAAGTTGCTTTCAACCTTTTTTATTTCCCTTGCTGATGCTGCAATGGTGATCATAAATTGCCTGGTTTTTTGTTGCATCAAGTATGTTACTGGTCAACCATCTTACTGATGATTTGATTTTAGATTACTAACTACTTCTACCTTCCGATGCTAACTCTTGAATTAAGTGACACGACTCTTCACCTTATGAGTCGTTAGAGCGGATAAAGATGTTTCGTTATATGTATTGTTTGTTCAGGTGACTTTTATTTGGCATCTATATATTATCAGAACTATTAACTGGGATATTTTGAACTTGATGCAGCCTAACTTAGGGGTTTTCATTCAAACATATGTATTAACACTGCAAAATACATGCCTACTAATTACAAGAAATAGTTGTTAATTAGTGATTGGCTTCATGTTTTGGATATAGACCGCTTACAAACATATTGATATGAAAAATAGGTTGCTGCAAGAAAATCTCATTAGTTATTTGGCTGGCAAGGCTTTTGCTTTGCCTAACCACACAACAAACTTGACTTTTTTAAAATAGGCTACTGTTTTAATTGATGTGAAAAATAAGTTGCTCCACACTTAACTAATTTGAATGAGTTGAGTTACAACTTTTGATCTTAGATCTTCATTTTAAATGACTTATATGGTAGAAAGATGGAAATGGTTGTAGGAGTTTCGTTGAGAACACTTGAGGAAGCACTTGATTAGTTTATGTTCTCTTTTCTGGATTATGTTGCGTGATTATGTTTTCTGTTCAAGTCCTAATTTTTTCATTGGACTTGAGATATCCTGCTGCTTTTGTTTGCATGTTAATTAGCTTAAGGTAGTTCTTTACCTTTCAAATAGCACATTTTGCAAACCTTCACTTGTTGGTGGTTTAGGTTTATTGGATTCATTTTGAACCTCCCAGGTTAGTGAGCCCTCTTCTGCAATTTCCCGACACAGTGATGCTCTCTGTCACCATAAACCTCTTTATGTATAAATTCATTCCCCTGCCAGCCGACAACACTGCCGTCCCATCCTCTCAAGGCCACAAGTATGTGAGATCCACCTGCCTTCACACATTTGGAAATCGGAACCACTAAGTCTATTTTACCAAATGTTTTCTGACACTATTTTCATTTCTAGTTTGACTAAATTGTAAACATCAGTCATATGCCAAAAGTTGCTTGAATGTACAGTCTTAAGTACTTATGTGAAGATACATGTTTCTTTATTGGATTATGAAATTTAAATGATGTATAGTGTTGAATCGATATAGCATTTCTATTAACTTAGACGGTAAGACAGGTTCTTATGTTTTAGCTGCATTTTAAATGATTATTATCGACGTGATCGCTTATGGTAACAGATTGATCTTATTACATGGGTACACTAATGAATTGTCACAATTCCTATCACTAGAATAGTTTGTAAACTAAAACACAGATTGGCCTAAAGAACAGTTTATTACAAGCATTGTAAAGTCCCAGCGCGAAGCGCGGGCTTTCGTGCTAGTATGGATAATTCTGCCAGCTATTCTTTCTTACTAAATGTAACAAGGAAGACGGTGTTTCCACAAGAAGATTCCTATTCATTGTTGGTATTTGTTTCTTTCGTTTTGGCTGGCTAGTTGATGTTCTCTTTTTTTCTTTTTTCTTTTTCAACAGCTGGTTCTACCAAAGAGTGGAAACCAAAGACTACGAACTCCACAGTAGCCCAGGTTTCTGGTATAGCTAGCTCGACAGAAGTTCGTAATGCACCAGTTGATAGTGTTCTTCATCAGTTCCTCAATCACAGCCAGCTTCAGGAGGTGATATGGAAGATTTAACTTCTAACTTACAGAAGTTGGAGCTGCCTCTTCCACAGCGACATCATGTTATCATGCCAAACCATATTCATGTTCCGGAATCGGAGAGAACCAAGTTGAGCTTTGGAAGCTTTGATGCTAACTTTGTTGTAACCTCAAGTTCTACTAGTGGGTCAGAGAGTGAGAAAAGCTCCACTCCCTTGTCCGATGCAACACTCAAAGTTGAAGAAGCTCTGGAGCAGCCGGCAGCAAGGTGTGTTTTAGTACTATGGACATGGAGTTTGTTATTGAGTTAGATAGACTGGTGCTATCAAATATAGGCTGTATACTTCCAAACTTTTCCTGACTTGTTATACATGGCTACCAACAGTCAAGTTGCAGTAGGAAATTATTGAAGTACTTTTGTTTCTGTTTACTATTTATTTGGTGTTGAACCATTAGGAAATTCAATTTGTTGTTCTCTCATTTGGAATGAACAAAGTAAACCCAATCTGGGTTCACATATAGTGACGGGAATATCTAACTTTAGTGACGGGAATAACTACCCTCAGAAGCTGCTTGTAATTGGGTTTTTGAGGGTGGTCCGTGGCATCTGAGGGACAATCTACTTTTCCTTCGGCGATGGGAGGTGGGAATCAGAGCTCTGGAACTTGATAATAAGGCTTTGCCTATTTGGGTGAAGCTAATTGATTTTCCGCTTGAACTGTTGTCGAAGGAGGGATTGGGAAGAGTTGCAAGCTTGATTGGCAAGCCGCTTTGTATGGATCAGCCTACGCGCAAGGGGTTGAAATTAGGGTATGCTAAGGTCTGCGTGGAGGTTGAAGCATCGGCAAAGCTGATTGATCAAGTGAAGTTTGCAGTTGAAGGGGGTAAGATTGTTACGGTCAAACTTGAGTATTGCCACTTACCAGTTAGGTGTATGAAGTGTGCAGAGTTTGGGCATGATTGTAATGCTCCTGTGGGGGAAGTTAAGCAGGTTTGGCAGAGGAAGGAGATTACTGTGGTTGAAATCCCAGCACCTGTAGCTACAGAGAGAGGCAAGGAGATTATTCCTCCTTCTCCGACGTCAGTTCTAATGGATGTGGCGAGCTCTTCCTCTCCAACTGCTGAGTCTCCTCCGGAAGCGCCTCTAGTAGATAAAGGGTCCAAGCTAAAGATATGGAAGGAATTTCCAACTGTTTCTTCCCTGGATTTCTTATCTGCTGTTAAGGACAGAGATGTAGTTCTGCAGGCTCCGAAGAAAGGAAAAGGCAAAGGTAATGGCAAAGGGGGTAAGGGTCGAGGCACTATGCCTCTGCCTATTGAATGAATTGCTTAGTCTGGAATGTGAGGGGATTCAATAGCCCCTCCAAGCACTCTGCAGTGCTTGAGTACTTGCGTCGATATAAGGTTGAAGTAGGTGCGATTTTAGAAACCCGAGTGCAGGTTGGTAAATCTGAGAAAATAATAGAGAAGTTTGGTGACTATGAAATCAAGCCAAACTATAACCATGCTCCTTTAGGTAGAATTTGGTGTTTCTGGAAGAAGGGTTTACAGGTGGTTAAGATCAGTGATAGTGCTGACTATGTTCACATGTTGGTCAGAGCACAGAATGGAGTCAGTTTTTTCTTTACTGCAGTTTACGGCTCCAATGAAGAGGCAGCAAGAGCAGCCATGTATGCAGCACTAAGTCCTTTTGCTGTTAGAGGGTTCCCCTGGGTTGTAGTTGGAGATTTTAATGCAATACTTAGCCCTGATGAAGCTTCAAATGATGTCTCTATTAGCTCAAGTATGGTGGATTTTCGCAATTGGGTGGGTAGTATGGAACTGGATGATCATCGTTTTTCTGGGCCATGGTTTTCTTGGACGAATAGACAGGCAGCAAATCCTATTGCGAGGAAGTTGGATAGAGTACTGGTTAACTCTGACTGGTATTCTTCTTTCTCTTCTTGTGTTGTGGAATTCCTTCCACCTGATTTCTCGGATCATTGTGGTTTGCTTATTAAACCTGTTCTGCCAGCAAAGTCCCTCCCCAAACCTTTTCGGTTTTTTGATATGTGGTTGGATCACCCCTCTTATATGGATATAATGCAAGCTGCCTGGGCTACATCTAGTTAGGGGTCCAAATTATATAACTTACGGATGAAGCAACAGGCTGCCAAAGCTGAGCTGAAGAAGTTAAATAAAGAATGCTTTGCTAATATTAGTATGCAAGTTAAAGAGGCACAGGAGCTCTATAAGTGTGCTCAGCTGGACTCTCTACAACATCCCTCGGAAAGCAACTTTAGAGTGGAGCAAAATTTAGCAACAACATTATTTCAATTGAAGAAAGCTGAGGAGAGTTTCTACAGGCAGAAGTCCAGAGTCCAATGGCTTACTCTAGGTGACTCTAATACAGGCTTTTATCATCTGGCTATGAAGATCAGACATGCTAGAAAGATGATTAACCAGTTAACCCTAGATTCGGGTGAGATCATTGAGAAGCCTGAAGAGATTGCTACAGAAGCTGTTTCCTTTTACAAAAGATTGTATGGGGTTGTCAATGGCGAAGTTCAATCTGATCCGATCCTTCTGGCTATGCTAATTGAGAGGAAAGTTTCTGATGTGCAGGGGTCTGCTTTATGTGCTCCAGTCACAGCTGAAGAGGTAAAGTCCGCCCTGTTTTCTATGAGGCCAGATAAAGCTCCTGGCCCTGCTGGTTGGACTCCGGGATTTTATCAGAAGACTTGGAATGTAGTTTGTGAGGCTGTCACTGCAGGAGTGCTGGAGTTCTTTGAGCGCGGGTCTCTCCCTACAGGTTTGAATGTTGCATCCCTCACTTTAGTTCCTAAGGTTCAGAATGCAAGTAAGATGTCTGAATATAGGCCAATTGCATGTATAAATGTGGTCTATAAGATCATCTCGAAGGTGCTGGCAAATCGATTACAGTCTGTTCTTCCTAGTGTTATAAGCCGCAATCAGTCAGCATTTATTAAGGGGAGAAATATTGCTGAGAACATCTTAATGGCCCAGGAAGTAGTTTCTAAGTACAAACACAAGAATATTAGCTCTCGGTGTGCAGTCAAAGTGGACCTTATGAAGGCCTTCGACTCAGTGCACTGGGAGTTCCTGTTTCAGGTTATGGAAGCTATGCAGTTCCCACAGCGTTTTATTGATTGGATTAAGACTTGTCTGTCATCTGCTTACTTCAGTGTTAGTATTAATGGAGGTTTGTGTGGTTTCTTTCCGGCTCGCAAAGGGGTGAGACAAGATGACCCATTGTCGCCATACTTATTTACTTTGGTCATTGAAGTTTTGTCATTGATGTTAAACAGGGCAGCCCTTATCAAACAACTCCCCTTTCATCCGCAATGCAAAGCCATTGGGTTAACCCATCTTTGCTTTGCGGATGACCTTCTCATCTTTACTGAAGGTTCAGGATGGGCTCTCACTTGTGTAAGGAGGGTGCTAGATAAGTTTTATTCCATCTCAGGACTTAAATGTAACCCAGATAAATGTGCCGTCTATTTTGGGGGTACTCCTCGTGGTGCTAGAGATATTGCTTTAAGTTTGACTGGGTTCAAAGAAGGTTCTCTCCCTGTACGCTATCTTGGACTTCCCTTGATTGCTGGTAAGCTGTCTATGATAGAATGTGAATTGCTAATTGATCGGATTGTGAGTAAGTTTCACTCCTGGAGGTCTCGAAAACTTACCTATGCTGGTAGGTTAGAGCTGATTTCCTCGGTAATTTACCCAGTGTTGCAATATTGGCTTGGCATTTTCATTCTACCTAAATGTGTTGTCACGAGAGTTCAGAAACTTTGTTCTGATTTCCTGTGGCATGGAAGTGAATATGGGAGGGCAAAGGTGGATTGGAATCTGATCACCATTCCAAAACAGGAGGGTGGTTTAGGTCTTAAAGATCTTGTAGTTTGGAATGTTGCTTCTGCTGGAAGATTACTTTGGTTGCTCTTGATGCAGGGGGGATCTTTCTGGGTAGCCTGGGCATATGAGTATAAAATCAAAAGGAACTCTTTATGGGACCTAAAGGTGACACAATGTGGTTCCTGGATTTGGAGGAAGATGCTTAGAGTTCGACCTTGGTTTCAGTACAGACTGATGGTGGAAGGCAGGGGTGAAGTGTCTTGGGAAGGTAAACTGTTACCGAGATACAAAATTACAGTTGTTTGGAAGTCTTTGCGGAGTAAGCAACCTGCAGTAAATTGGTGGCGGCTTCTTTGGACAAAATCTACTATTCCTAGCAATAGATTCCTCTCTTGGCTTGTCATAAAGGACATAATTATCACTAGAGATAAGTTGCTTCGTTGGGGGATGTCGGTGGACCCTAGCTGTGTGCTTTGCTCCAGTAATTGTGAATCGCGTGACCATTTGTTCTTTGAGTGTGAATATACGAGACAAGTTGCTATGGTGGTTTTTGCAGGGCTGTCCTATGCCTGGTGATCGAAGGTGGGAATCGTGGTTGGGAGCAGCTGTGGGGCTATTGAAAGCACAAACCCAGGGCCTTGTGATTGGATTCTGCTGGTGCTGGCTGCTTGCTGCAATTTGGAGAGAACGATGCTGCAGAATTTTTGGTGGAAACAAGTCTTCTGTCGAGAAACTTATAGCAAATTTTAAGGCTGATGTTAGTCTATTTGGAGTTAGTCATTCTGATTTTCTTACTGCGTTTAATCTGTGCTCAGATGTAATGCAGAGGGCTTAAGTATAGGTAGCTTTAAGGGGATGTTAGTAGAGTCTTCTTTTTCTGTTAATGGGTTGTAATTCGATACTGGATTTTGCCAGAGGAGCTTAATGAGATTAGCAACTTATCGAAAAAAAAATGTTTCACTTTTAGTAACCAGAATGTCGTCCCTAAAGATGAAAATTGGTTGTATTAGCAGGGGTATATTTAGCGACGAGAATTTTATGGTAGTTTGCTTTGATATTAGCGAAGTATTGCAGGGGTTTTAACCCTTGCTATATGTATGTTATGTGTCCATAATCCGTTTCAATTTTAGTGACAAATAGCAAGGGTTACAAACCCATGGTAATGTAGCAAGGGTTCAAAATCCTTGGTACAACCCTTGCACAGGACTTTCACCAAGGGTCACTCAAAACCCTTGCTACATGTAGCAAGGGCAACTTTGCCAAGGGTTTGTCCAAGGGTTGGAAAACCCTTGCTAGATCTTGTACCAGGGGTTTAAACCCTTGGTATAGACCAAAATAACCCTTGTCATAGACCCTTTTTTTTAGTGAAGGGACGACAGTCATAGTCACATTATGCTGCAGATTTTATGTTATCAAATATGTTTTGTCAAAAAAAAAAAAAAAAAAACGTTGCACTCCATCAATTCATTTCTTTCTCATTCTAATTTTCAGGAAACCGATCCTTCAGTGTGCTTCCTTATTGGATACTTGAATTCATTATTAACGTGTGTATGTTTTCTTGCTCTTTGGCCTTTGGTTCAGTAGTGGTCAATTCTCACTACATACTCTCTGTAAGACTCTTGGAATTATGTAATTCATTTTAAGTACTCTCAAGTCCTTAACTCATAATTCGTCCCAATTTGAGGGCTCCATTACTGGTGAAAATTTCAGAAAAAACAAGTTGGTGTGGCCGCCGGCCAAAGGCCAGTATTTATCACGTATCTTACTTATGAATTCATTAATTCGATGGAAGGCTGTCGAATGCTGAACTGTGAACATCGATAGACGGGTTAGTAGTCAAGGCTCTGGTGCATTCTACGGTACCCCGGGTGAAATTCGGGGTACCGCATACCTTAAGTATGAAAACACTATCTAGGCCTCGAATTAGTAGGATTTTTGGGTATGATACTATACCCTAACCCTTAATGAGTGAACCCTAGGTCCTAATTATCTAAATTATAAACTATAAATCCTAAGATGGTGCATTGATTTTTTGCCTATATTGGGACGAATCATAACCGTCGATTATTGTTTCTAATTAAATTGATCTTGGGGTATAAGATTTAGAGAATTGAGACATAGATGTTGATCTTTAATGGTTAGAGTATAGTATCATGTCCGAAAGATTAGTCAATTCAAGTTCTAGATAGCGTTTTCTTACTCAAGGTATGCGGTACCCCGGATTTCACCCTGGGTGCCGTAGAACTCCCCATATATATATAATTTCCCTTGTTCAATTGTGCCGCCTCCAATGCTGTCTTTCCTTTCCCACATCACTAGGGATGGCAATCATGTTAAACTCTTGATCAATCACATAAATATAAACGCAAGACACACGATTTACGTGGTTTCCTCAACGATGATGATCGTTGAGACTAATCCACGGCACAAGGCAGAGTTTCAGATTCTTATTCACGTCACTAACTTTTATACAAACTCGGCCATACAACCCATATATACTTGGCCGAGTATTAACCCTAAGACTGGTTAATTACTGTTAGGTACTCCTAACTTCTAACACCCTCCCTCAAATTGATGATGCTGACGCAACATCAATTTGTGTGCTAGAAACCAATGACGGGAAGAGGACACAACCTTAGTCAACAAATCTGCAGTCTGATCCTCGGAAGTGATATATGCTAACTCCACAGAGCCTTCCGTCACTAGTTGTCGAATATAATGAACGTGAACTTCTATGTGCTTTGTCCGGCCATGCAATACAGGATTCGTAGCAATACGAATAGCACTGGTGTTGTCGACAAACAACCAAACATGAGTTGTAATCTTAACTCCCAACTCTGCCAACAAGCGACATAACCATGTGATCTTAGGAGCAACTTCACTCATGGAACGATATTCTGCCTCTGTTGACGATTTTGACACACGGTCTTGCTTCTTACATCTCCAGGAAATGAACGAGTGACCCACTTTCACACACCACCCGAAAGTGGAAGGTCTGGTATCCAAGCAACCAGCATAATCAGCATCTGCATAAGCCTCAATCACAGCATCACCACCAGCAGAAAAGAGCAAACCGACATCCTGACTTCTGCGTAGATAACGCAGAATGCGTTGAACAGCAGCCCAGTGAGTAGTCCGTGGTGCAGACATGAATTGACTCACGACCTGTACAACATAAGATATATCCGGATGAGTGTGAGTCAAGTAGATCAAACTGCCTACTATATTGCGGTATAGAGACCCATTTGACAATAAATCACCATCTCCCTGCCGAAGCTTCAAATTCTGTTCCATCGGAGTAGCACAAGGAGTACACTCGTCCATATGCGCCTCCTCAAGTAAATCAATCACATACTTTCGTTGACCAACATGGATTCCAGCAGAAGAACGATGAATCTCGAGTCCCAAGAAGTAAGAAAGATCACCAAGTTCTTTCAAATTAAACGCGGATCACAGAGTCTGAGTCACTTCTTGAATGCCCTCCACGTCATCTCCACTAACGACCATATCATCAACATAAATCAAGAGAACTGTGAGCCCTCGAGCTGTAGTGCGGAGAAAGAGAGATGGGTCACTATCACTCTGTGCAAAGCCCGCCTGAATAACAGTCTCATGAAACTTCTCAAACCATGCGCGTGGAGCCTGTTTCAGGCCATATAATGACCGGCGAAGGCGACATACCATAGAACTGTCACCCTTCGTATAACCAGGAGGAAGCTCCATGTAGATAACCTCCTTGAGATCTCCATGGAGAAAGGCGTTCTTCACATCTAGCTGAACCAACGGCCAATTCTTCATAGCCGCAACCGCTAACATACTGCGAACTGTTTGCATCTTTGCAACCGGGGCAAAAGTCTCTGCATAGTCAATACCATACTCCTGACGAAATCCCTGTGCTACCAATCGGGCCCGAAACCACTCAATAGTGCCATCGGGATACATTTTAATAGTGTACACCCATCGACATCCAATGACTGAGAACTCAGGAGATCGGGGAACTAAGTCCCACGTGTGAGCTGCCTCTAACGCATCAGTTTCGACAGCCATGGCATTATCCCATTCGGGCTTTCCCTTTTCTTGCTTATACGTCGCAGGAACAACAACAGCTGGAGTGGAAAAAGTCACAAAATCAGAATGTCGAGGAGGCGGCTGACCTTTATTTGCCCGATTGGACCGACGTAGTTGGGGTACATCTTCTTCCACAAGCTGAGGAGTAGTGGATGTGGACGTATTAGATGGATAGGAAGACTCTGAACTGCTATGGCGAGAGAATGAAGACCTCGAACTGATGCTGGGAGATGACGGGAAAGAAGGAGAAGACCCATCAGAGGAGGAAGTGCTTGAGGTGGACGAACTGGTCGCGGACGTGGAGGCTTCTGTTGAAGAAGAAGAGGACGAGGACTCCTCAAGTTGGGTTGGGATAGCTTCATTTGGAGTGGGCAGCTTAGGGATTCGTAGAAAATCCAAGTCTGGTGGAGAAGAGGTCGGGAATCCAAAGCTCCCAAAGTACAGCATATGCTCAAGAAATACCACGTGACAAGACACCCGAACCCGACGCCCAGAGACATCATAACACACATAACCCTTATGTGTCGTTGAATACCCCAGAAAAACACATTTAACAGACTTGGGTGTGAGCTTATTCCTTTCCCGGTTAGTAAGAAGAACGTAACACACACATCCAAAAACACGCAGCCAACCATAGATCGGTATACAGGAATATAATGCCTGATACGGACTTCGCTGCTGCAGAATTGGAGTAATCTGTCGATTAATCAAATAAACCGTAGTATGCACAGCTTCAACCCAAAAATTCGAAGGAACCAAGGAGTGAAATAGAAGGGCCCGTGTTAACTCAAGAACATGACGATTCTTCCGCTCCACCAACCCATTCTGCTGCGATGTACCTGTACAGGATTGTTGAGAGATAATACCGCGCTCACGCAGGAGATTCTGTAACGGATGGGAAGTAACTCCCCTCCAAGATCAGAACGAAGTATCTTAACTGTCCGATTGAATTGTGTGGAAACCATGGCAAGAAATTCCTGTGCAACCGACAACAGCTCTGATTTCTGACGCAGAAAGAAAACCCACGTAAAACGTGTAGCATGGTCTACAAAGAGCACGAAATATCTATACCCTATACGCGAAATCACTGGAGATGGGCCCCACAAGTCCGTGTGCACAAGATCAAATGGTTCAGAATAAACAGTAGAACTCGAAGTAAAAGAATTATGCGTCATCTTAGCTTGTAAACAATGAACGCATTCATGAATTTGATCCCGCAAAACAGTGCCAGATAACCATTTATTCTGAAACATAGTACGAAGTCGCAGAGAATTTGGATGACCCAAGCGAAAATGCCATAAATCCAGTCAGATAATTTCACCGAAGAAACCAAATTATCTCTAGACTTTAGAAAACAAAAACAAATTATTGCCAACAGTAACCCGCTGCCCTGCGCCAAGCTCAGTCCTCCCGTCACGCCCCTGCACCTCTGGTAGCCCCGATCGAGAGTAGGAATCCACAGAAACAAGGTTGGGCACGAGCTTAGGGGCATAAAGAGTATCCGGGAGAGAGATAGTGTAAACGAGCTAGGGATTCAAGTTTTTTTGATTTGGGATTTTTGCTTTACAGAGAAACCAACAGACAAGAGGCGAGAAGAAGAAAGACAAAGAGAGAAGAGGAGTTGGTCGAGTTTCTTCTGACCAAAAAAAAAATGGGCTTGACTTGGTTTGTGGCCCAAAGATAATAACTTTGATAAAAATGACCAAAAGAGTAAAAAGAAAAGGTTTGGGCTCAAGTGGTATGAAAGCCCAGAAAGAGCTTTTGTTTTGAAGAGACGAAATCGTCTTCTTCCTTCAAGACTCTTCAGGCTTAGACCTAAGCACAGAGCTAATCGGAAAAACAAAGTAAAACAGAGCAAAGCACACCAATGGAAAGAAAACACAGAGCAGAAATGAAATAGACACAGACAATTTTAACGAGGTTCCCCAAACTACGGGTCAGTCCTCGTCCTAGAATCAGTACCCACTGATTTCTAGGAGACTCTTTTTATTTAGTTTTCCCTATCAAGCAATCGATATAAAACACAAGACATAAACAGACTCGAGAAATTGAAATGATGCGAACAAAGAAGTATAGAAACCCGGATCCCAATTCCAGATCCGTTACAGCCGCCAATCTGATAGAACCTATTCCTCTATCATGATTGATCCTCTTTGCCCAAAAGCCCTATACCGCTTTTCACAAAGTTCCCCGTAACAGATAAGAAGAATCATATATATACAGCCCCAAGGGAACAATGCCGTTGCTGCTATTCTTCAAGCCTTCCTTCCTGTCTTTCCTTATTTGAAAACTTTCTCATCTTGTGACCTTTGATTAAGGCCGGTGATTCTAATGATCTTTTTCAAATATTTGCAACTCTGATTTTCCTTTTTCCATATTCGTTCAACAATCTCCCCCTAAATCAGAGATTGCAAATTGAAAACAACCTGCACATAAGAACAGAAACCTTTCCCAGCAAAGCATCAAAATAGAAAGGATTCTAAACCATATATATTGAAACAGGCTCCAAAAGTCCAAAACAAGTTCACAATAAGCCCTGACTCATACGAGATACATCAAAGCATCATGACACATCTCCCCCTCAATTTGCAAACTCTTCCAATATAAACACAAGCAAATATAATGCTTTGCAAACTTATCCCTAGGGAAGCCTACCCACAGTACACAATCACAAAGAAGCTCTTTTGTTTTTATAAAATGGGCAGACAACTTTAAGGGTCGATCAATCCAAGAGTAGAACAAACAACCATACTTATCTGTAGAACAAGAAAAGAGAGACCTTAATTATACGAGACATGTGGAAGAGCACCACTGTCAAGTAAGCCAAGGTTTACCGTAGCTCCCATAACCTTTGATGATATTAGCCACAACTCATATTATGCAATACTCCATGAGTTGGGTCTCATAAAAGAAGACATTAGACGTGACTCCTAGATCGTCATAGCAACTCATATGTAAGAATAAGATCAGTCAAGACCAAATGCATTACCCAATACTGTAGTGAAAATAAGCTAATGTATGAAGATCAAAACTCAGAACCAATAGTCAATCGCCATATGAGTAAGACAAAAAAATATCAGCAAGAATCAACCACCATATTCATTAACAATCACCATAAGACACCAGATATAGAACATAGAGAATTCTCGTCTTAGTCTCCCCCAAAGATCAAGCACAACTGCACAACCCAACCAATTCTAAGAGCTACCGTGCTCTAGCGGCATAAATAAAAATTGCAGCAGGAGAAAAGCCTAGCACTGTACTTAGCCAAAGGACATGGAACAAATATAGCTATAGAAACAAGTTCGCTGCAAAAGGGTACAAAATGCTACTGTAACCAAAGACATCAAATCATGCAAGAGACTTTCTGCAAAAAGATCATAATTAGAAAAAGAAGGCACGAGATAATAACTAACCAGCCCACAACCAACGAATCTAAACATCATATCAGTTATCACCATCTAGAGAGGGAAAATTTTAACGCCTTACTAAACATATGAGAGGAGCTCTAATTGTCGAGAAGCCATAAACTTTCTTCAGCTCCCAATCTCAACTTCTGAAATATCACATATTCGTTTGCTTTTGAACCCAAACTTGTTTGAGTATGGGTTTCCAATGCCATGAATACCGAGGAATAGCTTTATGACAATTTCTACTAACATGACCAGGTTGTAAGCATGCAAAACAGTTAAATAAACCAACCTTGTTATAGCTATTATGATGAGATTCATTAGGTCTAAGATTGGTCTTCTTCTTATCACAATGCAGCCTATTATGCACATGCTTGTGGTTGACGTTTGACGTGGAATGATTTACTCTTCTACTAACAACCTTAGAAGAATGGAACTGAGATTGACCTGTATGGTGCTTTCTATCTTTGTTAGGTTCTCTAAAAGCCGACATACAAGTTGTTTTGCTACCAGAGGAAGAAGCATAAGATGATTTATGTTCTAACAACTTATATAGATGGTTCTTATCCATTCTAAGGACCTCATTTTCACGTTGCAGCTCAACAATCTTAATGGTGTTTAACTCAGTGGTTCTAGTAAGATTGACTACATCAGTAGTCTTTTTACGAACCTCTTCTTGGAGACAACAATATCTAATCTTTAAGCTGTGACATTCATTTTCTAAGTTCCTTAGAGCAGATAATAAATGCTCAGAATTTACCATAGAGGATTCAAGGTTAGGAGTGGACTCTGCCTCACTTTGCCCAGATTTGGAAGAGACCTCGTCATTGGATGGACTGTTGAAAGCAAATGCCATATAGGCTTCCTCATCGTCCAATTTGGACCCGAAATCGCTCCAGGTAGCCACCATATCAGGTTCTTTTGCCTTCAGGGTCTGAGGGCAGTTTGCACGAATATGGCCATTCTTTCCGCATTTATAGCATGCTTGAGGTTCTTGTTCTTTTGTACCTGCATTCAAATCTCTGGTCTGCTGTGCAAGCAGCCTATCTTGGGGAACTGATTTGTTACGATCATTAAATCTCCCAGTATTATAGATATACTGCTTATTTCGCTCATTTTTATATTTAATCATCGAATAAAATTTTCTACTAACTAAGGCAAACTCCTTTTCAAAATCATTATTTTCTTCGCTTGCTGAATCATACTCATAAGCATGAGAGTTAAAACAAATACTGTTTCTACGTTTTCCTTCGTCTTTTTCCACTTGTTGAATAACATATTCATGGCTAAGAAGAGACCCTATCAATTCATCCACCGAGAGAATGCTTAAATCTTTTGCCTCTTCTATGGCGGTTCGTTTAGGCAACCATTCCTTAGGAAGAGATCTTAAAATTTTTCGAACTAACTCCCTAGATGGAAATTTTTTTCCTAAACCTTTGAGATGATTAATCAATATAGTAAAACGAGAATGCATATCTTGGATACCCTCACCTGATTGCATTGCAAATGCCTCGTAATCGTGCATGAGCAAGTCGATTCGAGTCTCTTTGATGTTTGATGTCCCTTCATAGGTCTTTTCCAGACATGTCCATATCTCCTTGGCTGACTCACAATGCTCAACTTTGTCAGCTTCATCCGGTGACATTGCCGATTGCAAAATATGCATCGCCCGACAGTTCAATTGTGCACTCCTCCTCTGTTCGGCGGTCCATGCATTCTGCTCCTCAGGGTTTACCGCAAGTAGCCCATCACGAACAATGAGCCAGAGACCTTCATCAATTCCCCAGAGAAAGTTGCGCATCCGCCTTTTCCAGGTCGTATAGTTCGAACCTGTGAAACATGGCGCAGATCCAAACGAAAATGAAGATGATGTAGCCATGGATCGATTCCCCTTGGCAGTAGTGAGCTCTCTCAAGGTGAGGCTCTGATACCAATTGTAAACGAGCTAGGGATTCAAGTTTTTTTGATTTGGGATTTTTGCTTTACAGAGAAACCAACAGACAAGAGGCGAGAAGAAGAAAGACAAAGAGAGAAGAGGAGTTGGTCGAGTTTCTTCTGACCAAAAAAAAAATGGGCTTGACTTGGTTTGTGGCCCAAAGATAATAACTTTGGTAAAAATGACCAAAAGAGTAAAAAGAAAAGGTTTGGGCTCAAGTGGTATGAAAGCCCAGAAAGAGCTTCTGTTTTGAAGAGACGAAATCGTCTTCTTCCTTCAAGACTCTCCAGGCTTAGACCTAAGCACAGAGCTAATCGGAAAAACAAAGTAAAACAGAGCAAAGCACACCAATGGAAAGAAAACACAGAGCAGAAATGAAATAGACACAGACAATTTTAACGAGGTTCCCCAAACTACGGGTCAGTCCTCGTCCTAGAATCAGTACCCACTGATTTCTAGGAGACTCTTTTTATTTAGTTTTCCCTATCAAGCAATCGATATAAAACACAAGACATAAACAGACTCGAGAAATTGAAATGATGCGAACAAAGAAGTATAGAAACCCGGATCCCAATTCCAGATCCGTTACAGCCGCCAATCTGATAGAACCTATTCCTCTATCATGATTGATCCTCTTTGCCCAAAAGCCCTATACCGCTTTTCACAAAGTTCCCCGTAACAGATAAGAAGAATCATATATATACAGCCCCAAGGGAACAATGCCGTTGCTGCTATTCTTCAAGCCTTCCTTCCTGTCTTTCCTTATTTGAAAACTTTCTCATCTTGTGACCTTTGATTAAGGCCGGTGATTCTAATGATCTTTATCAAATATTTGCAACTCTGATTTTCCTTTTTCCATATTCGTTCAACAGATAGATGGCCGAACTATATGACCCAAACCCTTAACAGACATAAGCGACCCATTCGTAGCTTGTAAACTGAGACGCGGAATAGAAGTATCAAGAGTACGAAATGATTGACGAGAGCTGGTCATATGATTATAGGCGGCAGAGTCAACATGACAAGGAGTAGAGGAATGAGCCATACCCGTCGCAAAAGCAGCAGTAAGAGTCGTTGGGAGAGCCTCCTTCAACGCCTCGTGTACGAGCCGGCGGACATCAGCCGAGGTAAGAGAGGAAGTTGGCTCGCCAACGGGCAAAATCGTAGCATAGGCAGCTCCTGGATGAGCAGCACCGCGCGGTGCCCCTCCACCACGACCACGACCTCGGCGTGCGAGAGTAGGACAGTCACCAATGACATGGCCCTCGTGCTTGCAGTAGTTACACATGTTGTGCTTCTTCGGACAGTCTGCAATCACATGACCTTCCTGCTTGCAGTAGTTGAACACTCAGAGTAGTAGGACACGACCTGAACCGGTGAAAGAAGCCTGAACTCGACGAACACTCAGAGAAAAGAAGCGATATGCTCTGATACCATGTTAAACTCTTGATCAATCACAGAAATATAAATGCAAGATACACGATTTACGTGGTTTCCTCAACGATGATGATCGTTGAGACTAATCCACGGCACAAGGCAGAGTTTCAGATTCTTATTCACGTCACTAACTTTTATACAAACTCGGTCATACAACCCATATATACTTGACCGAGTATTAACCCTAAGACTAGTTAATTACAGTTAGGTACTCCTAACTTCTAACAAATCAAACCCATGGCCGCGAGTACTCGGCCGCCCGCGACCCAGTCAACGCGGGGAATCCCCGCTTTGACCGGGTATGGGTAAAACCCGCAAAAAGTTTGATGGGTATGGGGCGGGTATGGTTTTAGCCTCCCCCGCCCCATACCCATACCCATACCCGCCCCACCAAGAGAATTTCTTCACATATCAAAAAATATGTGGATTAAATTGTAATCTATCAATGATGATGATGATAACTCGAGAAAATAAATAGTAGAAATGCAATTGAGTAACCACCTTAATCAAAACCTAATTCATTTCCCTCAATTCTCCTTCCACTCTTTCACTTTCCCCCTTGCCAACAAGATTATGTTAGTTAATTATTACTTGGTAAATGTATCAAGAGTTAGAGCATAATAACTTAAAAAATATTGTAGTCTATATTATGTATTAATGGATGTTTTAGGATCATATTCTTTGAATCGTATTTAGAAAATGACCGTGTTTTGTTGACTTCATGATATAATAGGTTTGTTTATGGTTATAATTAAAACTTTTCTTGTAAGTTTTAGGTATAATAATGTTGGATGTACGGGGATGGGTATTACCCATGGGTATGGGGATGGGTTTGCAAAACATTCTCCCGCATGGGTATGGGGCGGGTATGGGTTTGGGTATTTGAAGATGGGGATGGCGATGGTTTAGGAAAACCCGCCCCAAACCCGCCCCATTGCCATCCCTAGTAGTAGGTATAGAAAAGGATTACTTTAATCCTTGTTAACTCCCGTACAACCTTGGTTTTTTCCTTTTTTAGATAACTGTGTTTACAATGCCGCAACTCTGCCCTATTCGCTAATAAACGACACCCTTTTTTTTTTTATTCAATCACCAACAAAGCTGTTAGAATCCTAAACTTGTCGCAACATTGTTTGGCCGAAACGGCTGCAAAAACTTTTTTTTCAACAATGCCTCATTTTTCTCGGCATCGAGGCCAAGACAACATCGTTCGAAAGACGAATCACAGACGGCGTCGCTGCCCCACTCTTCCATCGTTGCTCGGATCAACTCGATCATAATTGACAGTTCTTCTCCTTTAGTTAAACAACATTGTTTTCCTCTCCAAACAGCCATGTTTTTTTTCAAACGAGCAACAGTTTTGTTTCTCTCAAGTTGGGCCGGGAAACTTCATCGAGAAAGTAACAATAAACGACACTGTTGTATCGAGAAAGTAACAATAAAATGACACTGTTTTTATCAGTTTTAATCTCGTGAATCAAGTCCCATCGAATCTGTTTGGTTTTATTGGTCCACCAAAACTCACCATTTTAGCTCGGAGAAGAAAAACAATTTGGGATTACACCGGCTGGGATTAATTTGAACCTACCGTTTGGAATTGTTTTCTACTAAACAATGTCGTTTCGAGTACCGTGACGTTGTTGGGTTTACTCGCGGTGTCGTTTTCTTGCCCAAACAACTATGTTTGCTTTTTACTCCCGACATTGTTTTATATTACACTGTCATTTTCTAATCCACGGTGTTGTTGATACCTCTCGCGGCGTCGTTTTCAACTAAACGACACCGTCCAAAATAAACATTAAAAATATTAATTAATTAAACCAGCCATCACTATTGACTCGCCGTCAAACTCTCACCCCTCGGCACCGTTCTTAGTTAAACAACATCATTTTCCAGTCCCGCGATGTTGTTGAGTTTCGCAACACCGTTTTATCTTTCCGCGACATTGCTTGACTTCTGCTACATTTTCTAGTCCCGGAATGTTGTTGAGTTTCGCGGCGCCGTTTTATCACGCGAGATCAAATTAAATGCAGATACTCATTAATGCGCCATTTAATTTAGACTAAAATAATTTTAGGTGTGAACAGATATATACTTATGAAATCTGACAATTAATTCAAATCAATATATTAAGTATCATCATCGTTTACAAGGTTTGACATTAAATCCATAGTGGATTATGACTCGAATGTCTTCTAGATCTGTTACAAAAAGACAGTTCACGCTCGAATTTCAAATCAAGAGTGCATATATAATTTTGCAAGGATCATGAATCCTAGAGTTATTGATTCTATCGGGGTAAAATATTTCGGGTACCACTAAAAGTATGAGAATTGTGGGAGTTATACCACTTAATTAAGAATAGAGTATCGGCATCGCGTACCATTAAACTCAATTATGTGTGCACCCGATACCACTTAAGTTTACTTTTAAGTGCATTCCGTTAAAGTTGACTGAATATTCTTGATATGATCCCAAATGGTCCATTATACACGTTTAATTTACTTGACGAAGAAGATAATGAAGTTGGAAAGAAGAAGGGCAGGATTTGGCTAAGTCAAAATCCGTGTTCAGGGTACATACTTTGGAGGCATGGTTCTCTCAATTGGCCAGGTGGAAATTCAAGTTTAAGGGTTTGTTTTGTAGCTAAAGTTTCCATCTTTCCAATGGTATACTTTGTGGATCCAGATAATGTCATTAAGGTTGTTTTCCAAGGCCTCAAATTTGCTACCTCAAAACTGGAAAACTGCCAGAAAATTACTTAAGACAGAAAACTGTTTCGTGAAGTCTACTTTGGAGCTCAATTCAAGGAGCATGGATGGGATTCAAGTCAAAAGGCTTCCACAACATGAAACTAGGTATGTTTGTGAACAAAGGGAAGGAATTCGATGAAGAATTGGAGTTCGGGAAGGCCTCGAACGGAAGGCCTCAAATTTCAGAATCGGTTTACGAGCTTTCTTATCAATCAAGTAAACACCTTGATTGTGGCGAAATTCTACCTTTTCCATCATTATCGTTCGAGAGTGTGCTTGCTGCGTTACTTTGATCAAAAGCACCCCCCTGGTGCTTTATCAATTCTTAGAATATTATGTTTTCTAAATTTCATAATTGGTCCTTCTACTTTTCTTATTGTACAAAATCATTTGGACTTATGAAAAACATGTTTTTTATTGTTTAGTTGGAATCCTCTTTTGAAGACTTGATACCAAACCAACTTTTGAACAGAAAATGTAGAATCATTTATCATTATAAGTATTTTCAATATCGTTATGTGTTCCAATAATTGGATTATTTCCTGAAGCAAATATATCATATGAATTCTGTTTAGTTGGAATCCTCTTTTAAAGACTCTGATACTATACCAATTTTTTGAATAGAAAATTTAGAATCAATTATCATTATAAGTATTTTCATTTATAATTTTATGTTATGATAATTGAATAATTCTCCGAAGCAATTATATCCTATGAATTCTATCTCGAATAAATAATCTGAAGATGTTATATTTAGTTCTCTTACATCATGCTGATGTTGTGTAATTTTCCATGTTAAATCTCCGAGTTTTTTCCAATTCTAGCACCATTAAAAAATAAAATTACAAAATTAGCACCCAAATAAAAAAATTTACAATTATAGCACCTTTTCTAACGGAACGCACCCCTAAGGTGCGTTTT